TTCACGCCCAGAAGCATAAAAAGAGTTGCCCATGCAATCCCTTGTATGTGCGTCGCCTTGCAAAGCGCTTCAAGGGTGTCATTATGTCCGCTGCAGAACAGGTATTCAATTGGTTTCGGAATTATGCTCGTTTGCTGAATGAAATCAGACCTCTTCGGCATATTTTCAAGGTCTTGCATTTCATCAAGGAGCACAATGAGGCCATTGATTGTAAACAAGCTCTCTACTTAAACAAGTACAACGCCAAAACCAAGAAATCTTCCAAGGCTTATGCCTACGCCAAGTCCCCCATTCTGAAGAAGAACATGAAGAAGTCCATCGTGAAGAAGTAGCGGCTAAAATCGCGAGGACAGCATAAACCGTCTACGTCTGTCAAGAAAAGGTCTGTTGCAAAAACATGCTCTGCTTTGCTGGATATTGTTGTTATCCCATCAAATTGCTCTTCATTCTACGAAATTCATATAGAATCCTTAAAATCCTTGCAAAATCAAAATTTTCACATTCCCCCCCTCACCCCCCGCTCTCTAAAAAAAATATCTATCGATATATCAAGGATATATATATATATAATAGAGGAATCTTTAGATAATTTAAAGGAACGATACCATAGACCCATAAAGTCCCCTTTCAATTATAGAATAATGTCGAAGAAATTAGCACCCGCACTTAGAATGACGGCCAAAATCGCTATTTTTGGAACCCATTTAGAAGATCGCACGGCATAAATTCGATCGGGATTTTAAATATATATTATTATCGACAATATAGTTTTCTTCAATATATATCGCAAAAATCTCACCAACCTAAAATAGATTCTAATAATATTAATATATAAAATACGAATTATATAAAAAACCATTATATCTTAAATTATTGTTTATTATGCATAATAAAATTAAATTCTATATATTTTGCAATTATTTAATTTCAAATTAAAAAAAATTAAATTTTAAATAAATTATATAATTATTAAATTATAATTAAAATAAATCGATAAATAAAACAAATTCAAAAAATTCAAAATATCGAATTTCCGCCTAATACAAATCGAAATCAAATTAAATATTAATAAAATAAAAATAAGATAATTTTAAACATTCTTTAATTAATAACATAATTAATTCAAATTAAAATTATTACATATTAATATTATATTATATAAATAATTCGGAGAAAATTATACGGATTTTAAAAGATTATATATATTTTATTTAAAAGAAATATATTATATTAAATATATTATTATAATTAAAATAGAATTATTAAATATAAATATCCTATATAATATTGTAAAATATCATTCTACAACTAATCTATTTTTATAAATTAATACGTCCAAAAGATATAATAAATTCAATGCATCGGGGATTTTAGAGGCGCGTCATTCTATATAATGTCCCGAAAAATATGTTCTTTAATTAATTTTTTTCGATAATAAGGATCCTCCCCCTATTTCGAGTGTTTCGCCTAAGTTTTGGATATGCATCGATAAAAACACGTCATTCTAAATTTCAATTCGTCGCTATATATTCCTATTCTTGGGATCCTGGTCATTGCTCTGAGACAGGTGTAGAAAAATAGTTTATAAAATATTACAAAAAAAGAACAACAATCATGAAGCTAGGGGCAGCAACGTGCATTACGGCAAGGTCGCTGGAATCAAGTGAATTTTGTGTTGCAGCACGAGAATTAGCAATGGCGGATTTAGAAGACTGGGTGGGATGTTGACGCGGACAAACAGAATCTCTTCTCTACAATATCTCATATCGCGTCTGTGCAAGAGGTTGAACATAAAGAGCATCTGAAGAGTTGCGTCAATTCATCTTACATGTTCTTTTTTCGGATTGAGATTGGATATGGCTTTAAACCAGCCATGAACGTTTGCTTTTGCAAACTAATCTCACAAAATGTGGGCAAGCAAGCAAATCCTTTGTCTTGCAATGCCCAAAACGTCAAAAATCTGCTCTCCAAGAACGTGCCAAGGCAAACATCGCCAATGACTGTGAGCGTTCATGAATTCAACCCATACTAACGAACCATTACGCTAGGATGGGCTTGTCCGAGCCCAAAGTGGGCGCGGCACAGTTTGCAAGCTATCTTTGTAATTGGAATCCTTGGAATCGGCACAGTTTGCATCCAATCCTTTCATAGGTGAGCCTGAAGGACCCTGAGGCTCACCTGATTTCATTCGTGGGGTTGAAAGAGGTGAAGGCTTTGCTTCATTTCTGGAGGCTTTCCTGTGCGAAGTATCTGCAACAGACTCCGACTCATTTCGAGAAGCGCTACTTGCAAGATTGGATGCAGTACCAAATGACGGGGCGGTTGCAGAGAGTGCGCTTGACGAGGCTGCTGCTTGTTCGGGAGCCAAGCTTGGCGCAGCTGCAGAGAACATGCGCATTCCTTCTGAAAAGACTTCCATCGTGACTCCCCACCCATTCCGCGGCACCCTCATGCATCTGATGCCCAAGCGTCGGCCATCCTCACAGTTTCGTTGATCATCGTCAAAGAACAACAACTGATGAAATGGGACATCAAAGTGCTGTCGGATCTCTCTGAAATGCCCGATCTTTTTGATTGCAGGACGAATGACAGAAGCTTCTGATATCACATCACTGACTTTGGTGTCATCGACCTTCGGGTTCAATGGACAGTTCTGCAGGAAGTCCATGCACCAGTTCGGAACACTACTGCGGCTGCAAAGAACAATCGGAATCTCTGCCTTGTGCAGTGTTCGAAAGATCTCAGGTATGTCCCTACAAACGCGCAAAGGCCTGCCACGGCAGTCGGTGGCCCCAACTTCTTTCAGCACAGGTGTGTACGGCGGCCCAAACGACTCGGATCCCAATGTATATGGCCAACAAGTCATATCGAGATCAAAAAGGACTGCCTTCGGCAAAGCTGCTTCGAATCTTCGCCAATTGTTAGAGGATTTTCCTTGTGGAGCAACGCCGACATCATAGGTGGCCATGGCAGAACTGGTTTTCGTGATACACTTGGAGGGCCTAAAGGTCAAAATAGCTCTGGGGAGTAGTGCGCGCTCATCTTCACACACCATTGTAGTAGATTGAGCAAAATCGACACCGGGAAGCTTGCTGCTTCCTTCACCATCTTCTTTGAATTTGTGTTGGAACCATACCCCATTCCGCATCTCAAAATTCTGGTTGGGCACCTGCACGACCAGAATGCTCAGTGTGTCCTCGAATTTTGAGGGCTGGGTGTTGAAACGTCTGCCCTCAGCAAACCGTGACATAACACATGGCTGGTATGGCTACCTATCTATATATATATATATCCACAATTATCTGACACTGGTCCAGATTGATTGGGGGTATTTGCGGGTCACCAAACAAAAACACATACAAGCTCATGACCAGGGTTCATTGTGAATCTCCTTCTGGCGCGAATATTTCAGTGCTACCGTTGGGTCGGAGGTCAAATACTCGCCAATTAGATAAGGCACAATCTTTCCAAGTGAAGGCGATCTTCCTGGATGGCCAGGGACAAGACATATGCGAGATGCTGAAAAGCCCCAACGTACAAGGACCGTCCTGCTACATTTTTGCACTACACCGACCTCAGGTTCCCTCACGTGGATAAGTTCTTGGTAGGCTTCTGGGAGAAACAAAAGATACAGCTAAGCATGAGTTCTGCTCTGAAATTGTCTTCCGAGCTTCTTGAAGGATCAAAACCTGAAACCGCGATTTGCTGGCATGAAACCTTTGAGGTGCCATGAAAGCACAGAAAAGCATCAGCACTGTCCGAATTTGGCATCAGCTGTTTGTATGTCTCTCTAGGCTCAACCGCTGCAACTTCTTGGCAATCCACAACCCATCTGCAACTCAAAGATGCTGCAAGCTCATCACGCCTATTGTTCCCATGGAATGGCATGTGTGCAAAGCCATGTAGGATCTGTGCAAGCCAGGCTTGCAGGTCATCGGCCAGCTTCTCCGGTGGTTTTTGCGGCTTCTCTGTCCTATCTGGCCTTGGCGGAGGCACTGGCGGAGCTCGTTCCATTGACTCGGATCTTCTGGTGTATTTCACGCTCTTGTTCTCTTGGGATACGAGGCAATGCCCCGTAAGAAGCTCCACTGCGGACAAGAAGTCTGCCCGCCGTCTCTCATGATGAAACAAGGCCTTCACCCAACTGCAAAGCTGCCCGCCTCCAAGAGCAGGCCCCCAATCTGTAAGTGTGACCCATCGGTATCCAAAATGAGTTTCGCTTGCTTCTTCCTCAACTTCCCATCGATGCTTTGCTTGTGCCCGAGGAATCCATTCTTCGGCGACAACTCCTTCCATCAAATGAAAGACAAAGTAGTGCATATATTCCTCAGACAAACCACTTCTTTGTGTATTGAGTTCTTCCATTTTAGGTACATGATTCAATATGCATGGGGCAGTCAAGCGTTGCTATACCGGATACCGGGTGATACCAGTTAACATCATGACATCTTGCAAGACATTTTCCAGGACACGCCCACTTTGCAGGTGACCATAGGCGGCAACTCGGCTTGAGACAAGAGCTGGACCACAGTGCTTGGAAGACGAGCCCCTGGCACCTGCAAGTGGGAAAGGTGTAAAGCTCTGTAGCGGCTTTGCGTTAGGAGGCCATCGCTATTAGGATGGAGGCCATAAGCTATGGCGCCACATCAACATGCAATACCGGGCCTTTTCAGCTGGCAAAGTTCGATTCACTCCAGCCTTGGCTGCACCGGCTGGCTCGACAAATCATTCAGTTGTGAGCCATCCAACTTGTACTTATACTATATATAAAGTCCGTTCCCTCTTCAGCGAACAAAAGACAAACAAACAACATAAGCAAGCAAACAACATAGCAAACAAACAACATAAATCAAGCAAATCAAGCAAAAAAAACATAAATGCACCGGCAACCTATCACCCGTTAATGCAGTTATGTAGTTATTAGTTATATACATTCCATTTCTGCGTGTTTCGTGTCAACATGTCTGACACTTTTCTCCCAAAGACAAAGCCTTTAGCGCCTTCAGCAAAGCGTCAAGCTCAGGTAAGAGCACAGCGGAGAGCTCTGGGCCACGCCCGGCGCCGCCCTCCTCAGCTGCCTCGCGAAGTGCCGCACGCAGCCGAGCTGCGCAGCGCACCTCTGCTGGCTGCGTTTCATCGCAGCTGAGGATCGTCTCATCAAGGTGGAGACTGCCACCGAAGAAGCCATATGTCAAGCCCTGCAAGACCTATCACAAAACGTGTTAAAAGGACCAATAGAAATCAAAAGGGACGCGGACAGGTTCATCATCAACTTCTTGCTTTCGAGAACAAAACTGTTGGCTGAACCTTTTCACCCTCCGAGTTCGAAGTTTACTACACCTGTACGGGTTAAAGTATGTTGAAGTCAATTTTCTTCAATTGCAGACTGCCTTTCGACTGCGTTTTTGCAGCAAAATCTGCAAGTGCTGCTCGGCAGACTCGCAGCTGCTGCTTGAAGCCTCCTCGCCCGATTTGTTGGCTCCACGTCGTAGGAGGACAAGGTGCGCTGCGAATCGTCCCATGTGCTACACGACGCACTCATGTACTTTGTACATGTGCGTATCAAAGAACCTTGAACAATTCACAGCTTTGATGGAGAAAAAGGAGTGTGGAATGATCAACCAAACCAACAATTGCAGGCCGGGTCGCCCTCACTTCAACAAGAACATGAAGAACATGCGGATTGCAAGACCTCAAAGCCTATAGCTTTCATGTCCTCTCCTTCTTTGATCAATCAGGGTCAATGGTGGCTCATTTTCGGCGGCAGTTTGATTGCTGCTCAATCTCGGTGAGACCTCTCTACTTAAACTCTAAGCTTGGCAGGGCAATGATGCAGCTTTTGCGCCAAAAAAACATGTCGTTGTCCAACAACCTGTGTAGAACAATCGAACAAAAGATGCTCATTTGCTGCCGTCAGCGGTATGGACACATCCAAGTCCTTGGTAAGCCGCATCGGATGGGAGCGCTGTGGTGGAATCTCAACATGGCAACAATCAACTTAGCGCCCAACGTGGCAGGAACCATTGAACTATCTAGCCAATTTGCCTGCAGCTGTCATTCCAGTCGGATCGTTTCATGCTTTTTTGCTGGCTGGGAATGCAAGCCGCATTGACCAATAATGACCCTAACGTGAGACACTCGTTCACACTTCGGTCTGATAGCTTTCCAGCTTAGTGCTGAAAGCATTCAGCACAAAAGCCCGTACCTTTTGATTGTTCTGCTAATTTCTCCTCTATATCTATACTGTATATAAAATAATGCGTATCACTGTATCACGTTGAAATTGCAACACAAATGAGGCTTGCCTCACAAAAGAAATGCAACAATAATAGCACTAAAAAACACACACACACTCACACAGCCTGTCGACCCGCATCAGTGAAGACGACGAGAATGGCCGTCATGTTGTCACCTTCCATGTGCTCGCTCGTGAATTAGCGCATGGTATCTATGTCGTATCCATGTTGCACCGAACCGTTCGCAAAAAAAACTATATATATATATATGTCCATTGAAGTGGCACAGCGCATCATACGAACATAACAGCTGAGATCTTGGTCTTGCTGTACATTGTGAAAGAACACGTCGTGCTTTGGGGGTTCTTGTCTGTGGGCTAATTGCCTTCAAGTAAATCGCTGGTGCTTGCTTGCTTTCCAAACACAACCTTTCTTTGCACATTCCAAGCCTATAAACATGTTGCAAGCACCTCACACCCGGCTGCGAGCTTCATGCAATACTCAACTACTAAACTAAGATACAGTACTACTACAGTGAAACGTGACTCTTATATTCTTATATACAGCAATAGCTTTCTGCAAAGTACTTGCTGAAGTGCAACTTTGGCATGCTTGCTATGATCCGATCAGAAACCGCTTGCTACAGCGAGGGTTCCAACCAAGCCTCCCCACCCCAACTTGCCGATTTAGCTCCCCAAGACCTTTCCCATCCCATTCCGTGCAAAAGCACAGCAAAATAGTTTTTTCCACTAGGGACACTCAACTTTCTACTTGTGGAGTTTCAATAAGGTCCCCTTGATTGGTTGCAGCAGTTTTCAGCTGGAAGGCTTTTCAAGGCAGCAGCACACATATCTAACTGATTGACTATGCCAAACCAGTCGAAAATAACGCCTTTTGCTGCCTCCAAGGCCCATTGTTTGAGCCAAGTCTGGAGAGACACAAGCGTCGAGCATCTCCTCAACAGCAACAGCAACAGGAGCAGAAGACCTTCATTTAGTGGAGCAAATGTCGCTCGCCAAGAAATGCCTCAACGACTATGTGACAATGTATTCTTGTACGCAAGTGACCCTCTCCTCAATAATGGAGGACAAGCGCAGGCGACCCTCCTTCGTGTTCAATTGGCACGCAAAGCATCTTTGACCACTTTTGAACAAACACTCAATTGCATCCTTTCCCTACGCGACCCTCCTTCGTTCCATTTCGTTCCTTCTTTGCCAACCAGACTTCTGTCCTTTATACGGAAGGCCAAATCAGTGAATCGACCCAGCCGCATTCGGACGAAGTCCACGGCTTCCTGAAGCTGCCAAGCCAAGTCGCACACAGCGAAGCACAGCGTACCCCAAGTAATGACATCCACTCCTGGCTGCTAAGCACATCCCACCTCAACGTACAAAGCAAATTGCGCAAATCCGCATTGTCAAAACTCCTAGCTCAATTCCCCAGTGATGCTTTCTATAGTTCCTTTAACTAGTCTTTGGGATTTAAGCCAAAAGTTCTGCGGTAGGAACAACTCCTGTGGAGACTCTTGTTGACTCTTGCAACATCGCACTTACACAAACTCCTATTCACGATGTTGTCCTGCTCGCATGTGCTGTGGCCCTTCAGGACCAAGAAAGCTGGGAATCCAACACGCCATCACACGCTAGGATCATGAATTCGTCATCTACCTGCACCACATGTGGTCGTGGTTGTCCTGCGACTTAAACTGACAACCTTTACATCTTACGTTGCACCCAACATTTTTTTGCATAATACATGTATATATTTATATTTGCAAATAACATATGTTTCTGTTCTGTTTTGTGTCCCTCTTGCAATGGCCTGACGAGGAAAGTATCGCACGTCAGGGTTGCAAACGATCACTTGCTCCTGACATGTGGCAATCCGGCCGCCCTTTAAAACAAAAAAGCAAATAGGCAACAAACAGATTTCAAAGGAGCATTCGTTTCACCCAAACAAAGCTTTGGAACATGCAATGTCTTTAAGCACTTGCTGAAGTTGAGATTGGTCAATTGATTGTAGTGTTCTTTGTGTGGTAGGACTAAGGAGGAGTTTGCTGTCTGGACTTAGCACGTTCTCATTGCCCTATTGCTGCCTGTTTCCAAGTTCTCAGGCACTTTGTGAATACTTGAAACTGTGTTCTTGCATCAGCCTCACAGAATCGTTCGCAAGTGTACAAAAAAAGTATGTAGTGGAAGCTTTTGCTGAATCATGCACATCATAGTGACAGGTTGGTAGGGTGTCTATAGATCAAGCAGCTCAAGCAGCATGCTGCAAAACAACACATACACAACGCAATGAAATGAAACAACATGGGTCATGTTGGTTCCCAGCGTTCGGACGCATTACAAGAGAATCACAAGAAAATCACGTCTGTGCGTGATTTCACACTGCCCCATCCCTCCTGAGCAGGGAGCTGCTCATTCTGTTTGTACCTCCCAGTCAAACCGAACATGCAGCGATGTTTCAAAAGCGCGCCCATTCTAGTGTGTCCTCTCAAAGCAATTATCAACTTCCAGATATTTACGTGATGTGTTACCGATCCTAAATTGATATTGCCCCTTGGAATGCCCACGGGGAGATATCAAGCTTTGCATGCACTTGCTATAGTCACAAACAAATAGAACTGCTGCTTGCAACACCCTGGGCACAGAAGGTCGCCAATGGAGCGCGAAAGATTCAGGTTGCCATTTATTCCTCAAGCTGAGAGGTATTGAATGTCAATCGAGTTGTAGCCCCCTGTGTTTTTGCTGGATCTCTCTCATGTAGCAGTGCCAACACGCAACTAGGATTCTTTTGCTGATGTCAAAATTGTGTCCACGTGTCTGATGACTTTGGCGTTTTGATGCGTTTTGCAATCTTGCTGCAATCGACAAACTGGATCAAACTCAACCTCTCTGTCGAGTGTATCTGGGCTCCCTCGCTGTAATGAACATGATTCCCAACATGTTGCTGCAGCACCGCGCCTCCAGCCTGTAAGCCGGTCAGGTGAAGTCAGGTGTGTATGAAACACAAGCTCTTGACAACAGGTGTGGTGTAGAGCTGTAAGCGTTCATGTTAATAGATCCAGGGCAAGTCACTCTCTCAGGGAGGCAGTAAACCATTCAGGAAAAACTGTTTGGTCAATGCTCCGGTTCTTGGCTGAGGCTTGGGCTTTCAGGATGCGCGCCAGCTCAGCCTTGTTGTTTGGTTTGTGGTCTTCGGACCTCAAACAAGCAATGATCGTGAAGCTGTACCTGGCACAACTATTGTGCAAAACAAGCCCATGCTCATACTCTACCTCAGGAGAAGAAACAAAAGAAGTTCATGGACTGTCAAGTCAAGTGGACGAGGGGTCCAATAAGGTCTCAGCATGTCAATAGCCTTGCCGCGTCTGCACAGCACCTTGAAAAGAATGCACCCTAAAGGCCGACGGAAAGCCCGCCTTTAGAAGACTTTAGGAGCGAAAGAGCCGTGGGAGGCCGTGGAGAGGCTTTTGAAAACAAGGTTTTTCAGGTTGTTTGCTCTTTCCATTTCTTTCCGCATTCATGCCGTGGCAAACAATCGCCTTTTGGTTTCCTTGAAGAACCCTTGAATTGCGAGAAACGACGAAACAAGAGAGGACATTCACACGCACACGCAGATATATATATATATATTGCGTACATTATATAAATACATATATATATATATGTATCATATATATATACACATGTATATATATATATGTAACTGGATGTTGCAGATTCTGAAAACAAGCTCTCTTTGCTGCCCCACAGCTCGGCTGTCGCCAGCGTTTGCGACACAAATGGCTTCTGGCCGGACTAGCGCGCAAACCTCAATGTGCTTCACACAACTAGGAGCAAGGACGCTACTAGTAGCTCCTGGCCATACTATTAGTAACAAGAAGCTACTAGGAACAAAGGGCATCGCTACTAGGAGCAAGAAGCTACTACTGGCAAGGCGTCTCAAGATGTGCCAAGCAACAGCAG